CTCTCTCTCTCTCTCTGTGTGTGTGTGTGCACCTTCCCGATCTAACGTGCTGCGTCCAGCCGAAGCCCGAGGGTCAACGCCTTTCAGCTCGATGCTCGACCCTTCAGCTTCCCGGTGAAGCCCGATGCTCGACCCTTCATCTTCCCGGCGAAGCCCGATGCTCGACCCTTCAGCTTCCCGGTGAAGCCCGATGCTCAACCCGATGCTCGACCCTTCCCGACCTCTCTCTCTCTCTCTCTCTCTCTCTCTCTCTCTCTCTCTCTCTCTCTCTCTCTCCCGATCTAACGTGCTGCGTCCAGCCGAAGCCCGAGGGTCGACGCCTTTCAGCCTGATGCTCGACCCTTCAGCTTCCCGGCGAAGCCTGATGCCCGACCCTTCAGCTTCCCGATGAAGCCCGATACTCGACCCTTCAGCTTCCCGGCGAAGCCCGATGCTCGACCCTTCTCTCTCCCTCTCTCTCTCTCTTTCTCTCTCTCTCTCTCTCTCTCTCTCTCTCTCTCTCTCTCTCTCTCTCTCTCTCTCTCTCTCTGTGTGCACCTTCCTGGCGAAGCCCGATGCTCGACCCTTCAGCTTCCCGGCGAAGCCCGATGCTCGACCCTTCTGCTTCCCGACGAAGCCCGATGCTCGACCCTTCCCGACCTCTCTCTCTCTCTCTCTCTCTCTCTCTCTCTCTCTCTCTCTCTCTCTCTCTGCGGGCGCTAGAGCCTCTGGTAGGTCGAGCCTCCTACGTCAATGGGACACTGGGCGCTCGAGCCTCTGGTGGGTCGAGTCCCTGCAGTTCGAGCTCTGTCAAAATGTAAGTTCGTTATGCTTGAGGCTTTGGTTGTGTGGTAAGGTTTGTAGTACACGTTCCTTCGTGACCTTCTTGCCTCCCTTGTGCTAATTCTTACTTCGTTCCCATTGGTATGTAAACCCTATGCCGTGTTGGCGAATGACCTGGGCCATCAGATGGAGTTCCTTCGTCGTCGCAAACGTCCACCCCAAAGGTGGTCGGTATAGCAGCAATATTCCGTGGAATGGAATAGGCGATTAAACAACATGGTTGTGGACCAGTTATTTTCCTCAAGGACGATGCTGGAAAGTTCTACGTCTGTGGCGGAATCGACAGTTATGGGGTCGAAAAATTCCCCGGTGAGGAAGGGTACTACGATTTCCACTTGACCACATGCTTCGACAGTGGAGGGGTCGAGATGCCTGGTAATTACAAGAAAGTGTCGCTACATCTGTCGAGGTTTGCAGGCTTCAGAATAAACGCTGCGTCGATGCCCCCTTTCGATAGGTCGAAGAAAATGAAGAGTGTTGCGATGGTGGGACCGATCGAATTCGTGAAGAAAACACCATGCTACAAAGTCGCGGGTTTTAAAGTGAAGGTGAACAAAGATTTGGAGTTGTCGACACCCTTCGTGCCGATGGGCACTACGAATGAGGTGCTGAAGGACATTCTCAGGACACACATGCACGGGGAGTCTAGGCAAGGAACACTGCAATCCGTTCTCACTGCTGGAATGCAAGCTGCTGAATGTGGCACAAGGGGGAAGAGAGTCTCACAATCTAGGAAGGTCGGCGACAGTGAAAAATTTCACGTTCCCGAAGGCCCGGGCACAAATGGTGGTGCTGAAGATGCGTGTTTACGTCGAAGGGAGAAAACCAAGAAGGCATCCAAAACTGGTACGACGTCATCTGTATCTCGTTCTCGGTCGCGACTTCCCGCCGCAGCTTCGTCGTGCGACAATGACGACGACGATGAAGAGAAAACAGAAAGTGACAACCGTGATGTGCAGTCGTCTGGCAACCGTTCTCCTCAAAGGAATGGTAGGGATGATGATGATGACAAACAGTCGGCTGAGAAGGGTGAGGTGAAAGGCAGTTCGAGCGATGATGATAGGGAGGAGAGTGAAGATGATAGGGAGCAGGGTAAGGACGAAAGTGAGGAGGACGAGGGAGAAGGGGAGGAGGGCGAGTATGAAGACAACACACGGACCGATGATGGATTCTCTGCAAGATGGCATGTAAATAAGGACAGGGGTAAGGAGAGCGAAGGGGATGACAGCAGTGGGGACAAAGAAGAGGACGGCGTCGGAATCGACACACAACTATCAACAAACTCTCGCAAAAGAAAAATGGAGGCAGGAAGATACGATGGAGGAGAACGCTATCCCGGATTCATTCCGAGTATCGGTGATGAATATAAGAGACTTGTGGAGTGATATGAGGATGCCTTCAAGCGATTGGTAACACGCACCGCCAAAAGAAGATAAAGAAGCCATGAGGGAGAACTATCAGAACTTCATGCGCAAAGCGGTCCGACTGACTGCCGACGCCGAGCTTCGGAGTCAAACACTGAAGACGGCGTACAATACGAACTGGACAAACTTAGTGAGATCACATATGACATTGGCAACAGTTAGAAACAAAGTATGGGGACTGCTAAACCGATTCTTTGACTCGTGGGAGGCAGGATTGTTGCCCGATAAGACAGGCGTGACTCCAGTGGATCAGCAAGGAAAACAAGTCGCAATAGCAGGTCCAGGTCCATGTGCGCTTACAGTAAAAGGCACGAAGGAGCTTGTGCACTACGTTCAATCGAACAAATTGCCTAATGGGTATTACGTCTGCATTAGAGATCCTCCGCAAAGTGCATGGAAGGTGTTTGGCGACTTGACTGCCAGGGAAAAGGAGATGGTGTTAGATAAGATATTGGACCGCCAGGTGGTTGTCACAACAGGTTGAACGTTCAACAAGAACTTGCTTAACATGGATGATATTCAGATGGAAGTTCGGCGTGAGCGATACATGATACACCTCTTCAATTATGTTGTTTTCAAGACGGAAGGTCGCAAGAAGGAGGAGTGGAATGATGTGTTCTTCAGCGGTTATTCACAAATAATGAAGAGATTTGGCCCGTTGGGACTTACAAAGGAACAATGGGAGAAAAATAAGAGGAAGGTGCCAACTCACAAGGCCAAAGATGTGCCAAAACGTCTGGGTGGCATCGATGAGCCAAAGGTGGGGAAAGTAGGAGGGTACAAATTGACGCTCGTGAAATATACTCAGTGTCCATATTATCTGAAGGTGTTTATGCATGAAGTGATCGGTGCTATTGATCAACTAAGGAACGAGTTGCGGCGCATCAGTGCGAACGCGCGACACATAATGTGGGATAGACATAAGGATCACACAACGTTTCTTCCCATTTGCTTGGCACCATACGAGGCACTGCAACCATCAGAGGAAATCACACGTGCTGTCAAAAAGTTGAATTGTCGCGTTAAGGTCCTCGACATTTGCCCACGTAAGTCCACAACACCACAAGATTGGTCAGACGAGAGATTTGCTGAACTTCCGGAGATGATGAACACGTTTTGTGGAATGGATTGGGTCATCATCATATTCTCAACGTTGAGATTGGAGCAAACAGTGTTGAAGAACGTGTTGCGGTGGGATCACGTGAATGTGGTAACAGGTCATTGTGAGAGACATTTCAGTAAGGACCAGTATGTTGTTTCGACAAGCAATCTCCCATTGCGCCCTCGGGACTGCATGACCGTTGTCATGCATTCAGCCGACAATGACTTCAAGAAGGTGACTGTGCAGCCTCCGAACCATATCACCTGGTTTGACGATAATATAAAAAAGGAGTTGTTCGTGCAATGCACGAATGAACATGTTGGGATATCTGGCAACACAAAAGCCATACATGGGCAGTGGGAGAGAGAGCCGAAGAGAGTGAGGGACCTGTGCACATGGTTTGCAAAGGAAGGCGAAGGTGTGTTGCTACTCGGG